AATACACTAATTAGAAATCAAAATCAAAAAGATTAGAAAGAGGTGGAGTACTCCAACCCCATCACTGAGTAAAAAAACTTTTTAATACATTTTTGCATTTAGATTTTTATTTTTAATAGAACAATTATATTAAAAAATATTTTAATTATTATTGCATTTAGATTTTCTGATCTTTTTACACATTGTTTTCTTTGTGATATTTTATTGATATAATATGGACTGTGCCAGGAATGGTATACATATACTACTAGCGGGGTATTCATTTTTTTTGATGCGCGCCTGGCATAAATACCCACTAATGAAAGCGGCCCATTATACGCTTTGAAAAACAACTTAAGCATTTTATTTTTGTTCATCACCTTTTTATCAACAGTATAGCGTTTTTTAAGTTGTTTTTCAAAGCGTACCACTACGCCCAAAATTTTTTTTCACGGTCTCGACGCTTAGCTACCCGGCGACTCTCCTTGATCATGGTTCGTCTCCCCGAGGGACGCCGTACCGCTACAAACAAATTTTTTTTTACGGTCTCGACGCACAGCTATCCGGCGACTCTCCCTTGTTCGTGGTTCGTCTCCCCAGGGGACGCCGTACCGCTACGCTTCCTTTCAGCTTACAGCGGAGTTCTCGAGCTATATTCGTAAATGTTGCTACCCGAACCACCGTCGTCACAGTGMTAGTGTCACGGTATTTTAGATAACACTGTGCCTTATATTTGATGAATATCATTTTTCCTTACCTGGCATCATTTTTTTCTTGAAATTCACTTAGGGGAGGTCGCTTAGGGTAGCGTATCAGTTCAGCGTTCCTTCTTACTGCCTAATCATGCTGTTCCGCGGAGATTCGATACGTCCAACGATAAATTCCCGGGCAGTCGTGCATGGTATACGTGGAAAATAAAATTTGATGCCTAGCGGTATGAATGTTCCACGGTGACGACCCATCGTGAGGRACAAACCAGCCGAGTTTCCACACTACCCAAGGGGTATCAGCTACAGTGCGTTTTTTTTATAGTGGTTCCCCTGTAGGCCTAATCCACTGACGTTTCCACGTCGACATTTTTTTTTACGTGGTTCCCCCGTAAGGTCAATCCACTGAMGTTCCCACGTCTACATTTTTTTTGTACGAGGTGTCCCCATGAGGCCTAATCCACAGTYTTCCATTATYAATGCTCATTATTCACATGTCTTTTCAGGTAGCATGGTGATCCAAACTCTTCATTGCACGTGTCACATTTATATGGTTTGACCCCTGTATGTTTTATATTATCGTGATAAGATAAATTCTGCTTATTTGTAAATGTTTTCCYGCATTTTTCACAAGTCAATTTGGTCTTGCTACCATATTGGGTATTTTCATGCCGTTTCAAATTGGAAGTTGTGTTAAAAGACTTTGAACAGATTTTACAGGTGTAAGAAACTGTTTCGTGCATCGATTTTATGTGTCTTTTTAAGGAGTCACCTCTTGTGAAAACTTTCTTGCAACGATCACAACTCACCGATGGGTCCATATGAGATGTCTTTTCAGCCAACTCTTGTACAAAAAATATGAGCCACAAATAGCACATGTCAGTAAATTATCACGTTCTTCCACGTTTGAAKCTGTATCACTTTGTACGGGACTTTGCTGTTTGAAATGACCATCCTTTTTATTTTCACACGAAATACACATACATTCGCTGTTATTATAACCGAAATATGAAGAGCCGTAATAAGTTGTAATTTCTTCTCCGACGCT